TTCAGGAGGATTACCTCTGCACAACTCATTTCGAGCAGCTCTTGAATAAAATAGTTCATTAGTTCATGAAAAGGAAAGACTCCAGGGAACTGCTGGGGAAGGAAGAGAAAAGAACAGAGTGTCACAGTAATTAGGTTTTCAGATTGTCCCTTATCCTCCAGAATGCAGGTACACACACACATGTCCCTCTTCTCTTTAGGGGAGATCATTGCATGTTTTTCTCTGGGAATCAGTGTTCCAGAGATTAAATTTCTAACCMAGACATAATTTCCCAGAAAGATACTAAAAGATACCTCTTCTTTATAGCACATTTCTGTTGCCAGTCCATAGGGTAAGAGCAGCCCACCCTGCTTTGTAGCATTTCACCTTCATTTCAGACTTACTCAAAACTCAGTTTWCTTTTTAGGCTCCCATGGCTGATGCTGGGAAACCAAAGGACTTCCACTCACCAGGAATCTCTCAATGTTGCCCAGGTGTACAGGCAGCCTGGGAAAAGCAGAACCACTGACTGAAGCTACAGGAGATCAGGGAAAAGACTGGCCAGGATGACAAACAGGGAAAACGGGAGGAGGTKGCAATTGTTGACCAACCTCTTTTGATTGATACAAAGAGCATCCCAGAGCCATAGCARTTAAAATGAGGCCAGACCATCACCAGGACTGACAACACTGAACAGTTTCTCTGTGSCTTTACACCACAGGACTCAATGGCAGCACAGCCTTCATACTCTTCTCCTGTTGTTCCTTCAGTCTGCTCTGCTTTTACATTAAAAGCACCCAAGCAGCCCATAGGTCTCCAACCAGATTGAGTAAACTGCAAACTGAGATGCCAGGAAATAGTTCTGAGGGTCCTTCCCTGTGCTTTGTCACTCTCTCATTCCAAATTGGCTTGTGACCACCAAGAAAYAGCTGATGATCATCAGAAACATCAGATCACTACTGGCCTGGCATGGATCTGTGACCCTGAATTATGCATTTACAGCAGACAGGATGGCTGGAAAATCAGGAAATGTCAGAAGAATGCACTGAAGCCTCTATGATTTCTCCAATTCTCCTTGTTAAAGGATGTGTATTTTCAATAGTGGAATTTCCAACAGATCTGTTGTGATTTTCCAAAAATAATGGCCTGCAATATCCTTAAATTGTTACATTCCAATTGTTCTTATTACTATGGATTACAAATGGAAACTYTGGACTKTCATYTGCAGATAGGAGGCTTAGTTTCAAYCCAYAGTTTTAGAAAGGAGTCTCAGYTTTGAGCACTATRCAAGATTCCTTCACCTAGACATCATAATTTAAAAAAAACTAGTAGGTTAAGAACTGAGCTATAACATGATATAAAAAAAGCTCTTACATGAAAACCATTTGCATATCAGATTATTAAATTAAAATCTATCAAAGTATCATTTATTGAAGCTAWCAAACAGTCTCTCTGCCCTGTCTTTGAAAACATTTTGCCTCGGGGAAAAATTTAAACCTGGGCAGATAATCAGGATAAGGTATTTGAACACTTAAATCTTGCTAGAGTCTTTAAAGTAGGTGTTAAGTGRTGCATTAAATTTGTGCTGTTTCTTCTAAGCAGGGTAAATTTGCTCTTCTGTAAATAGTGGGAAAAGCCTTTTACAATAATTTGAATCCATGAATAAATGTAATACGTTAAAATTTCTAAAGTACAACCATGAAATATTTTTGTACATAAGCCAAATGAGTGGAATATCCAGGACTAAAATTATTCGAGTGACCACAGAAAGATAATATATAATTAAAATGACATCTGCACCRCAAACCRACGGGATGAGAGAAAGTGACATCASAGATCTCATACAAGCTGCAAGCGTATTATTAGATCTAAACCTGGCTGTAAAATTACTATCTACCCATGGGATTATCTTTAGGCATTCAGAAGCATTGTTTCATTTACTGATAGAACRGGGATGATAACAGGCTGACTTTGCTTGTCACATTGTTTTTTGGCCTTTCTTTATTCTTTGTTCGCATTAGCTACAGATGAGAGCAAGGCAAGCTTCAGCTGAATCACTGTCGTGGAGCTTTTCATTGTTTTACAGTTTRCTCCAAAGGCTTTTTTTATCCTCCCCCCACCCCCTATCCTCAAGAAAAGAACCCAAAAGCATTTTTAATGGTGATAAAATCAATGGGGAGTAAAAGATGCACAATGTAACATCTAGGAATGTGGCAAACTAAGGAATACCCATTGGCCTAATGCACCTCAGGGAGACCATAAGACTTTGCTTATAGCTCTCATTATTAGCACAAAGAGCCAGTAGCTGCTAGTTACATCTTGGCCTTATTAAAATTCACTGCCAAAACTCCAACTGGTTTCAGTTGGGTACATTTCATCATTTGAGACCGAGGACACGGCATAATTCTCCTTCACATGCAATCTGAGACACCTAATCTCTACAGATTTAATTTCTGCGTTAAATTGAAAAAGCCTGCATTTTGATCTGTTTCAAACATCATTTTTACGTCTCTGGCAAATATTAGTTGCCTATGTTTGTAAAAAGACTCATTTGCCACCAACCTAAAATAGGCAAAATTCTAAGAGCATGTAACCAGGCAGCAGTGAAAACGGGAAAAAGGAAAGCTCCAAACCTTCCAGTCATTTTTGAAAGCCACAATAATGATCCTGAACAGCAAAGGGGACTTAATTTGACCTCAGAAATCTGGCCCTAAGAGTCTAACTCATAGCACTTGAAATAGTTCCCATATGCCAGTTTGGCAAAGCAGGCAGAAGCGCAGGAGCAGACGGGTCCACAGGCAGTCAGGGAGTTGTGCATACACCGTTAAGGCAAACATGGACCTTGCACTTTCCTCCACATTGTCCTGGTGCTGGGCAGAGACTGCCATGTGTTATCCCTCACAGCACCTCCAAATATCCTTTCCAATATAACCTTAAAGCACTGCTCCATCAGCCACTGAAACCTGCCAACAGGCTGCATGGGCAGAGATTTCTGCCTCCTGATCTTGTCACCACAATCTCCCTTTTCCTGTGTTTTCCCTTTTTCAAGGGAGTGACCAGCTCTAGCACAGTGAAGGATTTAGCCCATGATCAATCCCTTGYCACAGAAACACATTGTATTTTATTAATGATGGCTAATAAAGCAAACACTTTTAATACACATCAGATTGTTTCATTGTCCCTTTTACCCTTTGATAACTGACACACAGAACAGACTTTCCATTCTGACCCCTTTTACACGAATCTTTGATTTAAACCTTGTCCCCACCCACAGCCACAYCTGTATGCCATTAAAAGTTCACACTGGACCTGTGCAACAGAAGTGAGGTAATGCAAGCAGTTTATAGACATCACCACCATCAGAAAATATTCCTCCAGCACTCAGTCTGGGCCAGGAACCACATTTACAAATCACTCAGTGGTGTTTAGCATCTTTTGGATGTAAAGAAGAACAAAGAACCAAAGATGGATGAAGGTGGGCTGAAGGAACAACAAGCAGAGTGCAGTGATAAACTGCAACAAATGTAGAAGTGAGACATCACTGCAGAAAAAGTCAAAGAGCAGCAATATCTATGAATATAAATTTTATTTTAAAATGTGTCCTGGGTGTAATGTAGGGTAAACTAAAATCCATTTTATCCTGAAAAGTGGCAGTGTGGGGCCAAGCTGTGAGAAAAAGTTGGAAGGATCCATTYTCACCTGTGCTGTCACTCCATCAGCATTTCTCTTCATCTCAGAGTGGTAATAAACATCTCTTACATTTCAACATTAACAAATTCCTTCATGTGTATATTTTGTGTTTCATGTCAATTGTTTTGCAAAAATTTGTCTTAGTTACTTGAAAAATTGAATTCTCACTGATATCCTTTKTTTCCCACTACACATCCATATTCCTTCAGGAAAGGAAATGAAACTTCATGTAATAAAAGGAAATGAAGTGAAATGGAAAAAAAAATGAAAAGAAATKAAACTTAAAGAAATGAAATTAAATGAAATCTCAAGATTTTCTTTCCTTTCATGATATGAATTTTCATGTCATGAAAGGAAAAGAAATGATAAATCAAATAATAAAATTAAATTAAATGAAACCTCGTGGAATAAAGGGATATGAAATGAAATTTTTTAAAAACAAACAAAAAAAAAGAAATTAAATGAAACACAAACAATGAAATCAAATGAAATCTTGCGATTTCATTGCATGAATGAGAATGAAATGAAAAGTCAGGGATGAATGAATTGAAATGGAATGAAATSAAAAGAAAATATATGAAAGGAAATGTAACAAAATTGAATTAGATGAAATCTCAAGATTTCATTTCCTTTCCTTTCAYAAAATGAGTTTCCATTTCATGAAAGGAAATGACATGACAAATCAAAGAACGAAATGAATTGAA